CTGGTCCATACTGGTTTATACTGGTCCATACTGGTCCATACTGGTTTATACTGGTCCATACTGGTCCATACTGGTTTATACTGGTCCATACTGGTCCATACTGGTCTCGCAGAGGTGGTGGGCTGCTCGGATCCCCAGGGCTGTTCCCGCGCCTGCGGATCCCCCCTGGGCTGCTCCAACGTGGCGTATCCGCGCCTGGTCCTGGGCCTGCTGCCACACGGTAATTAGCACTAATTAACGATAATTAATGATTAATTATTAATTATTAGTGGGGATAATGGGGAAATTAACGGGTTATTAGCGGTTATTTTGGTGTTATTTGGGAAAAATCGCCATTTTTTTGGCCCCAAAACTCCATTTTTTCACCGATTTTCATCTGTTTTTTTCACCATTAATTAATTATGATAATTAATTAATATTATTTAGTCCTAATAACTCCATTTTTGGGGCTAATAACTCCAATTTTTGTTCCATTAACGCCATTTTTGGCCATAAAATCGCCATTTTTTGGTCTAAAATCATCATTTTTTCACCGATTTTTGCCGGTTTTTCACCATTATTAATTAATTAATTAAGATTAATTAATCCAGGTCTTCGAGGGCTGATGCTGGCCGTGGTTTTGGGCCAATTAACGCCATTTTGGGGGCTAAAATCGCCAATTTTCCTCCAATTTTCGCCGTTTTTTCACTGATTTTTGCCGGGTTTTTGCCATTAATTAACTCCAATTATTAATTAACCATTAATTAATTATTAATTAATATTATCAGAGCTCATCCTGGCCATAATTTTGGGCTAATAAAGCCATTTTTGGCCATAAAAATCCCCATTTTTTGGTCTAAAAATTTCATTTTTTCACCGATTTTCGCTGTTTTTTCATCGATTTTCACTGTGTTTTCATCATTATTAATTAATTATCAATTATTTATTAATTAATTAACGCAGGTCTTCGAGGGCTGATGCTGGCCGTGGTTTTGGGCCAATTAACGCCATTTTTGGCCATAAAACCACCATTTTTTGGGCCAAAATCATCATTTTTTCACCGATTTTCACCGGGTTTTGCCATTAATTATTAATTAATAATTAATTATTAATTAATAATTAATCCAGGCCTGCGGGGGCTGATGCTGGCGGTGGTTCTGGCGGCTCTGATGTCCTCTCTGGCCTCGATCTTCGCCAGCTCGGCCGCTCTGTTCACGCTGGACGTTTATCGGCGGCTGCGGCCGAGGGCGGGGCAGCGGCACCTCCTGGTGGCCGGGAGGTGAGGAATTTGGGGTGAAAAAAGCAAAATTTGGGAAAAATGGAAAATTTGGGAAAAAAACCCGAAATTTGGGGAAAAAAACCCGAAGTTTTTGGGTGAAAAAATGCGAAATTTGGAGGCAAAAATTGCGAAACTTAGGGAAAAAAAGAGTGAAACTTGAGATAAGAAAAACCCTCAAAAATTTGGGAAAAAATGGAAAATTTGGGAAAAAAACCCCGAAAATTTGGGAAAAAAACCCAAAGCTTTGAGGTGAAAAATGCAAAATTTGAGGTAAAAAAAGAACCCGAAAATTTGAGGAAAAAACCCCGAAAAATCTGGGAAAAACCCCCGAAGTTTGGGTTTCTGAGAACCCCAAATTTCCACCTTAAAATCCCCATTTTTTCACTGTAAAAGCCCCAAATTTTGCGTTTTTGAACCTGAATTTTCGAGTTTTTTGCCCCAAATTTTGCAGTTTCTTCCCCAAATTTTTTGTGGGGCTTTCCAAATTTTATTTTTTCATGCCCCCCTTAGGCTGTGGGTGGTGGCCATGGTGGGTTTAAGCCTGGCCTAAGGCTCCCTGTGACCTCAAAACCCCGAATTTCCACCTTAAAATCCCTGAATTTCCACCTTAAAATCCCCATTTTTTCACCGTAAAAGCCCCAAATTTCGGGTTTTTTGCCCCAAATTTTTGAGGTTTTGACCCCAATTTTTTTGGGGGGTGACCCCAGATGACCTCAGGAACCCCAAATTTGGATTTCTCACGAGTCCAAAAATGCGAAATTTGAAGCTCCCAGGTGTCAAAAAACTCCAAATTTCCACCTTAAAATCCCCGAATTTCCACCTTAAAATCCCCATTTTTTCACCGTAAAAGCCCCAAATTTCGGGTTTCTTTCCCCAAATTTTTTCTGGGTGACCTCACCTGTCCCTCACCTGTCCAGGTGAGCACGAGGAACCAAAATCTGAATTTCTAAAGTGTCAAAAAGTCTGAAATTTGGGGCTCTCATGTGTCAAAAATCCCCAAATTTCCACCTTAAAATCCCCATTTTTTCCCCGTAAAAGCCCCAAATTTCGGGGGTTTTTCCCCAAATTTCGGGTTTTTTGTCCCAAACTTTTTCCGGTTGACTCCAGGGTCCCTCTCACGTCCAGATCACCTCAAGGACCTCAAATTTGCCACTCTCAGGTGTCAAAAATCGCCATTTTTTCACCATAAAATCCCTAAATTTTGCATTTTTGACCCTGAATTTTCGGGTTTTTTGACCCAAATTTTGGTTTTTTTGCCCCAAATTTTTTCCGGGTGACCCCAGGTTCCCTCTCCTATCGAAAACCACAGACTTGAGTTTCTGAGGTGTAAAAACCCCCAAATTCCACCTTAAAATCCCCAAATTTCGCGTTTTTGACCCTGAATTTTCGCGGTTTTTGCCCCAAATTTCGGGTTTTTTGACCCAAATTTCGGGTTTTTTGCCCCAATTTTTTTTTTTATATTCCCAGGCTTTGGGTGGTGGCCATGGTGGGTTTAAGCCTGGCCTGGCTCCCGGTGGTGGAGGCGGCCCGGGGGGGACAACTCTTCGATTACATCCAAGCCTTGGCCTCGTACCTGGCCCCGCCCGTGGCCGCCGTGTTCTGCCTCGCCGTGTTCGTGCCGCGCGTCAACGAGCCCGTGAGT